GCGCTGCCACTTGGGGACATGTTGGCCTCGAYGAGCATCTCCTCCTTCCCGAGGCTTGTGCATCCCCTCTCCGCCCGAAGGAGAGCCATGGAAGCTTGTCATGCTCCCACTGGGAAAAGGCAGCACCAGTGCCAAGGCATTGGAATGTTTTCCCTGCTTTAAAGAGGATATTTAAATATAAACAATGCCATTCTCTTCGGTAGGAAGAAGTAGCGAGTGTAAAATAAATCCAGCTGCTCCTAGTAATTACTCAGATGTATTAAATCTCGGCAGATACAAATTTGAGAGCTTGGGGAAACATATTGGAATATATTGAATTTGGTACCCAAAATGGAGTACAAATGTGCAGATTCTTCCCTCTGTGCTCCCTTATCCCATAGAAGTGGATTCTGACCTTGATAAGTTGCTTCTCTACCTTATTTCTAGCTTTTAGCACTCAATACTTACATTCCAGAGCTGGCAGGAATGTTTTGTTTTGCTTTCATCAATCAGCAGAGTAGAAGTGCCTTTTAATTTCTAGCTTCCTTTATTTATCCCTCGCATTTCGTATTTCAAGTAGAATTGCATCGTTTGATTGGTGRCACCAAGGCAGCCTCTTTACCACGCAGCAAGAAAGATGGAAAGCTTGAGGGCTACTGAAATAGCACCTGAGTGTGTGCAAAACCTTACGCACAGGGGTATGCAATGGGGGTGTGAGCTGCAACGTGGCAAATGTTAATGCTGTGAATGTGTCGATTGCTGTGTGTCTTTGCGTGATGGTCAGAAAAAAAAAGGGAGACAGAAAAAGATGTTYGTGACCGCGTGTTGAAAGGGAAAATTCGTCCAATTGCCAGGGAAAACAAATTGCAGTACAGGGAGATAAAACTCCTAAACTCAACTTCCCTCTCATTAAGATTAATTAGTTGCTGACAAATACATCAGGGAACAGTGTGCATGGGCTGAGTTAGGTCCCCAGGGCACACGGAAGGATGAAGGGCCCATGTTCTGTGTAATAATTTTTATTGACTGAGAAAGAAAGAACATTTTTGTCAGATCTGTGATCCGCTCTTTCCAATGGGATGGTTCCCCATGGACTCCTTGGCAGTTCCCCCCATCAGCCTCATTCCACCTCCACTGAGGAAGGGATGTGTCTCGTTCCTGTCTCTTTACAAACATCTGGTTGTAACAGACAATTCTCATATTACAACAGTAGCTACATCATATTTTCCCAGTTCCACTTTAACAGTCCATTTATTATGATGTGTTCAGTGACTCCTTTGCATTACCAAAGGTAGAAGCTGCTCTGTACCATGATGTTACCCTACAGCACCTGCATGCTCAAGGCTCCAGCAACTCATGCGCCCTTCTGGACACTATGAAACTGGCAGCCAAGGAGGAGGATGCCAGGATTTGGAGGGCTTGAGTTTTGCCGTAGTCATAACTTGTGGATGAGAGAGAAGCAACTGGTCATGAAGCCTTCAGTGATGGGGCAAAACACATTTTTTCTCACTTTCAAATACAAGTTTTTTTGCAGAAGCCATTTAAACCCACCAGAATTGTACCCAGCTCTCCCCTCTACCAAAACTTTACAGTGCTCCTGCACGTAAGTGGAAAATACTGGTTTAACTTTTGTTTGCTGAATATGAGAAATACTGTGAAGAATGCTACTTAGGTTAGTAACTAATAATACGCTTAAATAATGCGTCTATATATTACTTTACTTAAATTGTATTACCTGCACTTTTTCGTTTAACTTGTTTGTATAGTTCTTGACCTAACTGCTGTCATCTTTCCTATTAGTTCATTAAAGTAATCCCCTATTATGCAGACATTAGCAATGGCTTTTAAGTGAATTAGGAAAGAAGACAGGTGTACAAAATATTACTGCTACAATTATTTCATGAAAGGTAGGCAAGGTTCAATTGGAGTTACTGCAAGACTGAAACACCATAACATTAAAAATGCCTAACTGTGTGTGTATTAATAAGGCATTTCCATAAGTTTTTAGTTTATGCTGTTTGCCAGCAGTAGAAATACAGCTGCAATCTGTGAATGAAAACTCARTAAGTGTGGCAGAATCTTTGATTCTCGCTAGGAAGGTTGCTTTTTGGTCAAAAGGAGAAAAGAGAAGAAACGTCGAGGGGAATGGAGCGGGTTTGTAGTCGCTGAATTAGGGGTATGGTGGAAGGGACCTCTGCCAACCGACTGGGCGAGCTCCGAAACCCCCYGGGACGGGAGTGCTGCTTCCGCGGGAAGCGGTGGCTCTGTGTGTCTGGTGCCCACGCTGTCTAGTGCCGCCTRCAGACGTGTTCGGTGAAGGAGCAGCGCCGTAGTGGCAGGACGGGTTTGTCCTTCATGAAATGCAAAGTGCTGGGAGAGTGCGAGGAACGTTAACGCTACTGAGAATCATTTAGGCTAAAAGGACGTCTAAGGATATTGGAAAATGGCCCTTGGCTGTGAAGATGTTAACGTGGTCCAAACTGGGAACAAAAACACGAGGGAAGGAAATGGACTTTGCACAAAGAGAAGAGAACAGCCTCAGCTCCACGCGATTGGGCAGCACGAGCTCTAGTTCCAAGGGAATGGGAGATTTATTTCTGAAAGYCAAAACTCGGATTCAGGACAACTAAACCACATCTTTTCTTATGCCTCCTCCCAAGATATGGCCCAAAACTCTGCAGATGCCTGGGAGAACTGAGCTGTTTCAAGTACGTTCYGTATCTTACATTCCTATGTTTTGTTTCTGATAAATTTTTATTTACTATTCTGTAATCAAGAATGAAAGCCTCTGCTTTGCTAGACTAAATGTGTTGGCTCTTTCAAATTTGCCTAGTACTAATGCCAGATTCATACCATCAAGTATAAAACAGATTGGTTTGTGTTTTAGGGGGGTTGATCTGTTTGTTGTTGTTTCCCAGAAAGCCAGAAGCTTCCTGTTTCCCAGGAAGCCAGAAGAGGCTAGAGAAGGTAATTTTAGATGAATTTTGCACCTAGCTGATTTGATAGCTAATATCACTATAAATTGAATATTAGGGAGGCATGTGAGCCACTAAACATSTATGTATGAAATAATTTATTCTGCCTGGTCCTTGTCCAAGAATATTCCTAACAGTCCAAACTCTGCTCCAGTACCTGAACCCCAGCGAGTGGCAGGGGAGAGTAGTTGCTTCCATTTTTTATTTCCAAATGTTGTTCAGCAGGTGATGTGACACCTTGGCCTCATCCTCCAGGATACTGTAGGCAGGTGAATTCTCCCTCTTTAAAACTTCAGAGAGCAGAATTGGCAGGGAAAGGCCGCTGGAAGGTCTGGAGCCTTGCTAGGCGTTAGGCGGAGAGAAYTAGCCAGGGCGCTGGCGGAGGCCCCTTGGCATCTTCTTTCCCTTCCCTCCTCCCTTATTATATTTGCAAAAAGCTTATCCTGTAATTTCAAGCTGTTTGCCTTGTCTCGGTGGATAAAATCGCTGGTGGGAGGCAAGCAAACAACACGCTGTCTGCTCACTTGCAGCCGTGCGTTTGGCAGTGCTTTTCATACCACCCTGGGCACTCAGGTTCTCTTTCCTCGTTAGACTTTCACAATTAAACATAGGTGCTTGGTGGACAGAAATGCAGGTCTCTGCTCTATGCTGGGGCTCTGGCGTGGATTTACCTGTAAAGAAAGTAAATATAAATAAGACTGGACTCCATTTCAAGCCATAGAGGATGCACAGGAGAGTTTGAGATGTGGCCAGATAAAAACGAATCTTAATCAAGGTTTCCTTTTCTGAAGCCTATCTCCGGTATACAAGCAAAGATGATTGAGGGAATGCACCCACAGATCTAGCAGAATTTTCCTAGCTGTCTGTTTAAATCGTTTTAAATTGTTCCTGCAGCACACCTGACACTGTGACAAAGTCAATAGTGTCAGTCCAGAAATAAAAACAAATTCCATCTCCTCTTTGTCCCCGAGTGTGTCAGGGTGGGGGGTTCATTTTGGAGGTTTTCCTGCCACTCTTGCATTTGTGCTGTGTGCTAATGTGYGTGGGGGGAGTTTGTTTATGATTGGGAAGATAGAGGAGGCAGTGAGGAATGTGGCCTTGCTCTTCCAGATTCCCCTGCAGAGCTCCTGGCGCTTGCTCCAGGCTCCCCGTTCGCCTTTCCCGTCGGTGTTGGCTGCCACGGCACAGCCCAGCTCCTGGAAGCAGCGCTCGTGGTCGAGGGGTCCCAAGGATGAAGCCAAGATTGCAAGGCAGCAGCTGGTGGAATTTGCCAGGGAAAGAAGTAGGCTCCTAGTCTGTCAGCAGAGAGCAGGGGAGCAGCTTTACTCACTTATGGAACGTACCTATGCAATTGTACATCTCACAGTGCCATTTAGAAGCGGATTTTGATTCGAGGCTCTCCCAGGCGAGGAAGGAAAGGCGCTTTCCTCCGGGCTCCAGTGAGGGAGCTGCTGAGGAGCTCCCTGCCTTAGTGGGTCTCTCCCTGTTCTAAAACACAGTGCAAGGTAGTCTTGTGTTAATGGGGAGCGATCTCTGATTCACAAGGTGATCGTATATACAGTGCAGTTGTCATAATCTCGAGCCTAACCTCATGATGCCATCCAAAGAAGCTGTGTGAGTTTTTAACCTCGGCCCTTAGCACGTGCAGCTTCACCCGTCCACGTCGATGGACTGAACACAGGTGCAGGGCCCGTAAAGGCATTCCGAAAGAAACAGAAAYTGGGCAGGGTGGGCCTGAGGCAGAGAAGAAATATTGCTTCTTCAGAAGATGCTGAGCTCAAGGCTCATTATTAATTACTTCATTATTAATTATTAATTACTTCATTTTTTTGGACCAAAAGGTATTTTTTGGTCTGCTTCATTCAAAATGAATATAAGCATGAAAGGAAAGGTTTTTAAGTAGCAAAAGTTAGGCATTTTTGTTGAAAGTCTTAGCAGGAGAAGGCTGGAACAGAATTGCTCTGATCTGTGCTGCAGCCCTTGTAATCTTGCCAGCCTTTGCTTGCTGAAAGCAATCTTTTTTGTAATATTTGTTTTGGTTTTTAGTTGCTGGCTGTTGCTGCCCTCGGCTTCTGCGGTGCTGTGAAGAGAGCTCAGCGGAAGGACACGGGGCAACTGCAGCTGAGGAGGGCGGGCGGCTGGACGGCGAGGGCGGCCAAAGCCCGGGTAGCCCCATTAGCCCGACAGCTTTCCCAAACCTGCCCCGGGCCCTTCAAACGAATTCCAGAGCTCGTTATAAATGAGAAGTACAAACGTGGACGAAGAGCTGCTTTTATTTTGCTTTCYACCTGGAAGTATCATCCTGAGAACTTTGCGGTCGCAGCTGAGCTGTTCCCCGTTGAGGATGGTTCTTAACACCTTGCCCTGGTGGGAATCTCTTTTCCTTCCAAYGTGCCGTGAGACACACGGCGTGCCGTGGGGTGAGCCGTGCAGGTGTGAGGTCTCCAAGGCAGCAGCCACGGCCTGGAGAGCACAGTTTGGGAGTGTCAGAAGGGTGAAGCYGTCTGCAAACAATACTGATCACTCCTCCCTCTTCCTCCCTCCGTTGCGGGCTGCGAGACAGCCAAGAAAGCGTTCACAAAAGCTCCCCTCAAAGCCTGAATCGCTCACAAACCTGCTTTAACTCCTTTAGCAGATTTTAAACAACTTTCGAGATTATACATCTGCCAAAGAATATATTGGAGTGGTTCAGCTAACGTGCTTTTACAAATGTTTTCCAAGTTTTCCTCTCTTTTTTTTTTCTCTTTTCCCCCTCTTTTGATCTTGCCTGTAGATCCTGCATATTTCCTGCATATTTGAGGGGGAAGGACTGAGAAAGTGATATTGTGGCACAGTATGTGGGAAATGCCATGGGAATACTTGTGTTTTTCTCTCAACAAAACAAACCTTTATCACTGAAAGAAGGCAAATACTAAGAAAACGGAGAGACCTATGGATAACATGCAAAGGGGCATTTCCATGGGTCAGGGCAAGGCTCAACCTACTCTAAGGATTTGACCCCTGAGGGTACCGTAAGTACAGAAGAGCATTAAGAGCATTAAGAAGATACCAAMAGGTTTGGTGTCGTGGCGCGGGCGGGCTTGCACGTGCTCGTGCCTCCCTGTGTGGAGCCGGCGTGTTTTCCAGTCGGGCTCTGCACGTGTGTTTCCCTGTTTGCAGTAGAAACGGCTGCTGGGCGGCTCGTGCCGTCGATGTCCGCGCTGTGCGYGGGTAGCCGGGCACTGGTTCCCATTCCTGCTGCTCCCTCGGCACAGCGGCTGTGCCAGGGAGGAAGGGATGCAGCCCCGGCCGCCTTCCAAAATGTGGCTCCCCTCTGCCCGCGACACTTTGCTGATAAATACCCGAGGATGCGGATCCTGCCGAGCGTGCSTGCTAGCTCGGGAAGAGACCCGAGCCCTGCTGTGCTTCCTGCCGCCGGTTGCCTTAGGGAGACTATAGGCGATGTCACGTGCGGCAGCAGTCACGGACAACACGCAGCGCCTCGGTGGAACCTGCCCGGGAGCCGCTTCCCCCATCCCAAGGACACGTGGAAAGCTTCCCCAGGCTACTGACGGGTCTGTTTGCCAGGGGCTCTCCGSATGAGTACGGTCAAGATGAAGGAAAGGGCATTGTGGCTCTGTGCAGTCCCTTTGATTCACTTATTTCTTTTAAAACAAATCTGCCTTTTTTAAGGAACAGAAGCAAAAAGTGGATAAGTAGAAGACTTTCTGGTGGGGAGCTTAGTGTAAGGAGTATTGGCTAGAAACTTGGTGCCTTTTAGCACCAGAGAAATGGGGAAGGCTCGTGGCTTCCTCAGGCCTTTGAGATGGCTCGAGGCTTTTGGAGATCCTCAAGAAGATCTGTTTTTTTAAATAAATGTGCGTTAGCCTCGCAAACGTGGAGGAATGTTCTGTATGTTAGAAGTCCGAAAATAATAAAATTGGCATTTTAATTACTTGCTTTGTGTACTTTTTTTCTGCATTTACTATGTAAGAGGCCACTTGTTCAGTGCACTCTGGGAAGCAAAAATGGAAACAAGCTCCTACTTTGTTTTCTGTTTACACCCTGACATTTCTAAGCAAGAGAAGAATGCAGAATACTTGTGGAAGAAACGATTTTCTCCTAGTTTGCAAGAAAGAAATGAGGAGTTCTTTTTTTTGCAGGAAAGAAATGAGGAGCTGACGGAGAAGTACCAGGAACAGGGCTAGGCTATTGCCAGGGCTCCACAGGCACTTATGTAGCTCTTCTAGTCCGACCCAAGCTCAGGTACGAAGAACGTGAAGCACAACGTACTGAGCAGTATATACGGGGGTATGGGAAAGAGGCTACGCAGCCTGATGCTCATTGACGTCTAGGCAGTCACCCAAAGCTGGAAGGAAATGGTGCGCATTCCGTAGGCCGGAGGTGCCTCGTCTCATGGAAGGAGGCACATGAGCGGGCCCGGTGTCGTCAGGCTGCTCCGTGAGCCGGGCAGCGGGGCGCTGGGCAGAGCGAGGCCTCCTGCCCGCACGCAGGCAGCCGTGCAGGGAGGCAGTGCTGCCGGGAGTTGCTCCTTCTGCCTGTCCTCGGGTTTGCCRCGTGGAAGGGTGTGCTGGTAACAGCAGAAAATTCCAGGCTTGTTTTAAATAAGTGGGTATCTRTCCTGACCCAAACACATCGGAGTGCTCCAGGTCTTTCCATTTCTCGTTATATATTAGCTTCCTCTGTCAGTGTTTTAAGGCACTCGTTATTGCCCCGCAGAGAAGCTGAGGTGCTGTGGTTCTTCTGCCCGCACAAATGGGCAGGGTTTTCTCCYCTTTCCAGGGACATCATATCTGTGAATATTCTTCTCTGGGAAGCTCGTTCTGAAGTCCTGCACGTTGCTGAGATCAGAAGCTGGTCTCTCCCTGCTCTGTGCCCTGCTTTCCCTTCCCCTTTGAACGTTCGCTGCTCAGAGCGCCCTGTTTGAAGGCCCCGTCTGTGGTGTGGGACCGCGTGACGTGACAGGCCGCGGTGCAAAGTGATGCAGCTAGGCCTGGCTGCAGAAACTCTGCTGTCAAGGCCAGCATGGCAGGGACAGCTCTTCCTCTGCCCCGGGCGCAGTGAGCATAACCAGACAAGAGCACATACCGGAACAATTCGCTAGTTATAAACCATAGGGCTTGAACCGTGTGCGTGGAGGCCACAGAGATCTCCCGCACAGGGCTAGAACACCACTGGCCCGGGGGGAACTAGGTAGCAATTCCTGTCCGTGAGGGCTCTCAGTTGAGGCACCAAACTAAGATATCKTCTGGGACTATCTGTTTGGCAAGTTTGCTGCTTTTCCTGCCCAGACTAATGTTCCCCCACCCGATGATGACCTGTTGAGCAGCAAGCCCCGGACCTTGTTGCAGGTTAAGAACCAGGCCTAACCACTCCACTGTTCTCCCCAGCACTTACTCCCTGCTGGACGATGGAGTCTGGAGTTTTTCCTTGCTAAGAGCTGTTGTTACTTAAGCAAAGCTCCATTGTTTACTTGAGCGCTTATTGTCCGTTCACTGTTCAGGACACAGGAAACCTCCACTGTGCCAAAAGCCTTTAATGGGATATTCAGAATATATTTTTAAAAGGCGATCCTCTATCTCACTATAAACCAGCACTGTCTCTATTGAACTTGCAACCATGAAGATTTATGTATAAACCGGTATTTTACTGGGGAAATAATCCGTTTGTACTCAGTACTATCCATAAAACTGATCAGGCACCAAGAACCTTGTGCAGATAAACCCTTCCTTCCCCCTTCGCACTAGAGGCTTAAGTCCCGCTTTGAAGTTTCTCAAGAGGCTGCAGGTTTTGTGATAGATGATGTGGGGCACCTACTAGCAGTTAATTGCTCATTAAACTTTCTATAGGCTTTCAGACACGGCAGGGACTGCCGTGCAAGGGAGGTGACATGGGGACACGGAGCCTGGCTGCTGTAGCTCCCTAGGCCAGGGGCAGGCGCGGAGAGCAAGTTCCTCGGGACAGGGCGCAGCAGGCRCCCGGCTGAGCTTGCGGCAGGCAGGTCGTAACAAGGTGTTTGGGCAAACGAGCCCAAACGGGACGCGGAGCCGGRGCCTCAGCACTCTCCCTCCTGGGTGCTGTTTCTGTAACGACGCTGCCCCGGCGTTTCTGAAGAGGGTTTTTTAAGCAATGTTCTCCCCTTCTTCCTACAGTGTCCTGGAGCATTAGGTACCTCAGACCCGCGCCTTTGCTGTCACCTCCCGGCCTCGCTGTGCCATCCTGAGGTAAAAACCAGCTGGTTTCTGGAGCTTGGTGGTTGAGGAGGCTCYGCCACCTCCTGACCATGCTTCGTGCCCTTCCCCGCATGCCCTCTGGCCCAGGGATTATTTCCACCACTTCRCTGGTTTCTGTAAAGCCCAGCTCTGTTGTGCTTGTTTCACAACAGCAAGAAATTTCCCACCAGGATCTCGTTTATTTACATGTATCTCCCTTCCTCCTTTCCATTTTTAAAATTCCATCGAATCCTCTGCAGTTGTCACACCAGAGAAGATGCCATCCCTTAGCTAGCAGCTTTGCTGGATAGCACTGGTCCACCCTGTATTAATTACTCCCAGGCAGGATGTGTATTCTATATAAGCTTGACTTTCCCTGCTTTGTTGTTTATAAATCCTGAGAGAAAATCCAAACAGAAATTCCAACTGCTGCCTTGTCTTCTCTACGTATTTGTCTAGTAGTGATGCAGGAATGTTATCTGTGTTTTTGAAAATAAGAATGTAGGAGATCAAAGGACATCATAGGAACAGTGGATAAACAGTGATGAATTTCAGTTTTAAAATAATCAAAGCTATAAAATTCAAATAATCAGGAAAGTCTTTGCTTCATGGAATAATATTTAGACCATTCTGACCTGTGCCTTATTCTCCTAATTAAATTTTAAGTAGTTTTTTTCGCAGGATGATTTCCAGCATGCCGGAGGCCAGCGAGCAGATCTCAACTGGTAACGCACATGATGGAGCCGGTGGTTATTTCTTGCTCGGGGAAGACCAGCAAGTTCTTACATGAGGCAGCTCCGTAGTTCAGCRATGCTGAAATTTCTACTGTTCTCCAACACTTCATGTGCAGTGGTAGAAAATGTGCTGTTTTACATTCTTATAGATTTTTACTCTTTATTGCACGGTCAGAAAATACTTATTTATCATTGGCTCTATATTGCTCATTGTTAGGACTCGTTTCAAAGGCAGCAGTCCCCTGCGTTTCATGTTCCTTGGGCACTGCTGATGYGCTCCAAACAGCTCCAGCAGATTGGTGCAATGCTAGACGGCCTGTTCACGTTCCCATTCTTGCCTGTAACTTCTATGGGCAGAAAGAAAAATATCTTATTTAATACATTTATACTTCATAAAATTTCAGAACATTATGAAAGTGCTGCTCTCTAACCAAATGACAATGTCATTTAAATGCAATTTTCAAATGCACTTTTGTCTCCATAGTTAATATTCTATTTTAACTTCTATTAATTTCTATTTCTATTGTCTCCTGTTATTCACTCCGTAACATCCTGTCCTGAAAACATGTGCCAGCTCTTCCCCACGTGAGTAGTTCCACTGAACATAACCAGTGACGTATCTTGACTGGGAGCACTACTTATAAATTCTTTGGAACAGGGAATCWAATCTCTACATGACAAATTCTGCTTCCTTGCTGTGATTTAAAAAGAAAAAAGCAGCGGGAGGGGAGGAATAAACTTTTGCGAGGCTTGGGGAAAATGAGTTCTGTAATCAGCAACTTCATGACACTGAACTGGGATTATCGTTAGTGAAGACTTTAGATCTATTGTTTTCTTGGTCTGTTTGAAGATTGAGTCCATAAAATTTTATGAGGTATAGTTTAGATAATGCTAGGAAATAGCTTGTCTGGAACTAAAATTATCTCATTGTTTGAAACGGGCAGGGACAGGTTTTAGTCTCTTCTGCATCAGTATATTTGCTATAAAGCAGATTTTATCTTTCAAAAATCATTGTGTGTCTGCTCATCAAATTTCTATTTTCATATGTGGAAATACTTGCTGTCTGTGGTTGCGTGTGAATACGTTGAAGAATCTAGGTCATAAGAAGAGAGATCCACAAATTAAAGTTGAAAATGTTTATATTCTCATTTTCAAAGAGATTCTCAGGTTAATCTGGGTGATTATCTGCCTTTTAGAAATACATTTGCTTTGATATTTTCAAAAGTTCTGATCACAATCCGAATTAAGGGCTGTATTCTGGAGGTCAAATGTGAACTCATTTACACAGAAAGCAGGGGCAGAACAAGACTACAGCTACGGGTTTCGTCTTTTCCATCTACCTTGACTCTCAGTTACCAAATGGTGACTTGTTTCTCCCTCATCTAAAACCTGCTAACCACATTTCAGCCCTTTGGCGTTTAGATAATGTCGTAGCCTTATCCTATGGAAGTCTCATCCTTCTGCAGGAATCTGAGGAGTCCGGTTCGTTTACTTCCTTAGAGAGGATGATTATTATCAAACTAAAAGTGCTGCATGTCTAGAAGTCATTAACGAAAGAGTGCTTTTTTTTTTCCCTAGGATGGCATTCCCTGATTCTTCTGTCATTATGACTAGGGAAGAAGATGCCGTGTTCAGTGTTGTCACTTTTGTGCTCCTCAGGAGCTAGTGATGGGCATCAATCCTCAGGGGAACGCTGTTCTGCTCCCGTACAGCCGGGCGCGCGCACCGTGGTCAACACCAACATCCATCTCCGTCTCCCCGTTCTCCAAGGCAGCACTTTGCTGCTGACTTTTCAGTCATGTTGCTGTTTTCAGGCACAGATTTCTCCTTTTCCTGTCAAAAACTGATATCAAAATTCATCTTTCTTCTAAGTGCCTCCCTACTGCTCTGTATTTCTTAATTGAGTTTTTGGCATAARGAGGAGAGAAACTATTTCTAGCTATTGGAATAGCTGTGTGAACTGGGAAAGCCTCCAGCTTTTAGAAAAGTATTTAAAGATTTGAAGAAGATCCAAGCTTCCAAATAATTTTTACTGCTCTGCTTGGTCAGCTGTCAGTATTTGATAAATAGGGTGAAACTATTGTCAATACTTAACAGCTCAACACAAATATTTATTCTACATTTATTGYAAAAATATTTAAAATGGAAAAATGAGTCCCTTATTCTGCAAAATTCTGTTTTTGTTTCTCCCATGCAGTTTGGTAGTAACAGACTTGAGTGATAAAATCTCCCCTGCCTCTGCACAGGGGCAAACAGGGAGGAGAATGTTACCCGTGGTAATGTGCTTCCCTGCTGAGAAACGGCTCGGAGCGAGAGTCCTCCCCGCTCCCTCCTACCGTCGTGTCTGGGGTTGTGGGGGTTTCAGAAGGGCAAGTCACTGTTTCTGACTGAAAGCAGCAGCCAGTGACGTCTCCGGCAGAGCCGCGCCTGGCCACACCAATCCTGGGGCTGGCAGGGATTCCGTAGGGAGCCAGGGGTCGGAGCTGGTGGGCCGGAGCCATGGGCAGGTGCCACCCGCAGGCAGCAGTGCAGCCGCAGGGCYGTCCACCTGCCCTTGCTCTCCTGCTCCAGGAGCCTCCAGCTGCTCCGGGAAGAGGCCCGCGGGTAGCACGAGACAATCCTGCTACCAGAAGTCTAAGTCCAGCTTGTTGCTTTATTTCTGTAAATGAGTGTGACTACATCCAGGAAAGAAGCTCAAGTAACAAAGGTGCTGGAGGCCGGTTATCAGGGTTTTTGGGGKTTTTTTCAATATGTAATGGAATATAGTCAGGACCAGAGACAGGTTTTAACCAGGAATGTAATTCATATTTCTTCAAATACTTATATTTCTCCAGTTCATTCACCAAGGCTTTGAAAACCCAGTTCTAGTCCCATTTCTTTACCTTTTGTATCAGTGGGAGTAGAGCAAATGTGCCATCTTTGTTCCTCAAGCCATTTGAGATCTGCTGATGGTTAATTCCTGTTTCTGAGTAGCTAGGGCGCCTTTAGACTTGGACAAATATCACAGATCACACAGGTCATATAAATACACAAGATTCTCTTCAGAATTACCTATGTGAAAGATTGAAATTAGAAAGAAAAGAGAGGTAGAGATGGAAAGATTCCTTCATCTTCTGCTTCAGCCTTCACCAATTCAGAGCAGAGCACCAGATTTAGCAGCACTAGGAGATAGGAGAGGAGAACCTGGGCTGAGCATTTATATTTACATTTAGCTTTTCAGACAAGGATTGAAACGCAGATGGCAGAGCACCCTGAGCTCCTAACTTCTGCCTCGGACTTGTTCTGTGGGTGAGTATGGAGTGGCAGTCTCACTTTTTTAGCAGCCCATAACTCACGTTCCTGTGCTGCAGGATTTTCCTGGTTATTTCAGTCTGGTTTTGATCTCTCAGGGGAAGTCTACTAATTCTATTCCATGCAGCAACTGCAGTTGACAATGCTAAATTGTCCTAAGGAAAAAAAGCAGGGTATTGATTTTGGTTTGTTTATTGGATTTTACTATTAAAAAAAAAAAAAAAAAAAAAGCAATAATAAATATTTCCTTCAGGATTTGCAACTTTTAAGTTGTTAAAGAGATGAAAGGCTATTTGTTGCTTCAGACGTAGCCAACGAGCCGCGGGCTGCTGGGGAAGGTTTTGCGCATGTCCATGCACTTCTTATCAATGATGAAGGAGTTTGTCTTCACAGACAGTTCATGCTCCAGCTTGGATTTGTTGAGAACCAACATGTGCAGGGTATCGTGGGCCTCTCGCAGACGTTGCTTTAAGGTCTGCAAGGTGTCATCGATAGTAAAAACTTCATTGACGAGCCTGAAAGAGAGGGAGACAAGTTGCCCAAATAACTTCAGCAAACAGCAGTAGCAGGTCTGGTTTTCAGGCAGGATTTGAGCAGTATTCTTGGYCTGGACCAACATGCTAACTATTCTTGGCCAAGCTTGCATGCTTAGCAGCTGCAAGAAATGCTGATTTCTTGCTTGCATTGACCTTCAGCAGAAGTTTAATCTGATCTTTTATCTTTTTAACTGCAGTTTTGTTCCCTCGCAGCCTGCCYGCTGTCCAACCTCCCTGGGAGCGACGGCGCCTGCGCACGGTCCCACAGCGTGCCTGTTCCTGAGGCCTGGTGATGCAGTTTGGGATGGCTCAGGCTTGGGCACCAGGATGGGCCCAGGAGGGCAGCTGTGRCACGAGACACGTTCGTCAGGAAAGGCTGACTTACCCAGGGACCCACTGAGCCTGGAGCTGTGAAATCGGGTTTGTCTGTGAGCTGATACCGGTCAAATTTGTTCCAGTGGGCTATGCAGGGAGATGTGACAGAGGTTCTTGTGTACTTACTGAGCCCGTTATCTCCCTTTAATACTGAAGATCTGGTGTGTAGAGATAACCATCCCCAAAACTGTTCACTGATAGACAAAATGCAGCATTCGGATTTACTTTGTCAAAGATGGGAAACACTAGCAATATCTGACAAGCCAAAATTTATTTTCTAATACAATGTATTTTCTGAGTATCAAAATCTTAGTGTTACAAAATTAATCTGTCTTTTACACTGTTTGAAATTGGTTCCTCTCTAGTGCCCTCCGTTTTTCAAAAGTTACTGGTTCCAGCGCATATCCTTGCTGCAGAGATCTGGGATTTCTGGAATGTTCCTGGCTCACTCGCTGCCTTCTTGAAACATTTTTTTTTCTTTTTTTTTGGTGATCTTACAGATTAATCTAGTCAGATGTGTGAGGGAGGCCCCTTCCCACGGCGAGAGCGCTGCAGTGTGTGCGCCCTGGTCTGGCTGCAGCTCAGAACCACAGGGATGCACCTTCTGGTGGATGATCCCTCTTCTAGGATTCCGCAGTGCTGACCTCTCTCAGTTGCTCTTGCCCTGCCTAGGCTCCCCAGASTGTTTTCCTGAGCTCACTGGGAAGTCTGCAGACTTGGAACCATAAAGCTGGGCTTTATGGTTGGCTTTATGGTTCATCATTGGGCTGAATTTGCAGCTAAAGTATTTAAAGGTCTCAATAACAGCTAGTAAGTTTTCTCTCTTGAATATTCTACATTGCTCTACCTGRAATGTGTGCAGTTTTACAAGAGAAGTCATACAGAGCCTCTGCTCATCTACTGTGCTGTGAATTGTTCCAAGTGCCACAGCCTGCAAAAGATTTTTTTTTTTTGCCAGAACCCACCTTAACGTGTTTTTTGGATAGTCCCCTTTGTTTCAGAACAGCGCAGAGAAACTAGACTTCATTAGTTTGTTTTCTGTCCAATTCCTTCAAATACAAAGTTGGCAGCACATACAGCGAACAAGCGCCAACATCAGCACTTCCTTTTCAATAAACAGCAAAGCCAGATAACGTTTGCATATTACAAAGAAGTGGTTCATTTGGTATTTTCTTTCCCTATTATAGTTGAGTTGTTGGATTGAACTCCTGCTTGTTTGAAATAGAGTTATTTTAAAATCAAAAGTCCTTAAAAAAAGAATTTGACAGCAAATGGTTTTGCTTTCTCAGATGGGAGTTGATTGTTTGAAATAGAGTTATTTTAAAATCAAAAGTCCTTAAAAAAAGAATTTGACAGCAAATGGTTTTGCTTTCTCAGATGGGAGTTGATCAAAAAAAAAAAAAAAAAAAAAAAAAAAAAAAAAGTGAGCTCAGCCAAAAACTGACAGTGAAAAAGCGGTCAGATTTCCAATATCTTCTGTCAAAATTGTCCTCTCTAATTGCAACAAAACAGTAAAAGATATGGATTTTATTTAAAGAATCTGAAGTAACCTGATCTGGATTAGGCTTGATTGTAGAAAGGAGAATGYTCTTTATCTGTCAATAATACTACAGCTAATAAAGATTGCACTTTGATTGCACTTTTATAAATATTTTGGTTAAGATATTAGAAATACATGATATCCACTGCCTGATCTAAAACTTAGGGGTATAATAAGCCCCTGAAAAATATTTCAGGATAGCTGCGCAACAGAATGTAAAGCTCTTCAACAGCCTGCAAGCTGCTTTATCTTGCACTTTGTCTTTTAGGTATATCACGTTTTTGTCCTTCACTCGAGTTCAGGAAAATATTCCAAGATATTGTGACATGCCATTGATTTTGGATGAGACTTTCCAACCTTTTCAAGCAGGGCCCTTCTGGAATCTCAAGGTAATTGCTGGAGGACCACAGGATGGTGTGAGCGTCCTCCTGGGCGGGCTGTTGGTGCCAGGTAAACAAGCTCTGCCTCGTGGGMCCTGCTGAGCCGCTGGTATTGTCCAGAACGATGGAGACACTTCCGTGGGAGGGATCTTCAGGGGAGAAGAAGCCGGGGAGAGAACAAGGCTCACAGTGAATAGGAGGCTGGAGTCATAGTTTGATATTTATGACCATCTTGGGCTTTTTTGGAGCTAAGATGCTGAAAGAGCCTTGAATGCTGAGATTAATGCTTTGGCTCACCCGATCAAGGATGGATGGCAAGCAGAAAAAACAGATTGACTCCTGTGGTAATTGCTCAGGGAATGTGACAGTGGCCATGTCAGAAGTTTCCTTTTTTTTTTTTCACAGCTGAACTCCTGCAGCAAGAACAAGCCTGATTTGTGTGATATGAAAAGCCACGGAAATAGAATTTTCTAAATGGATATAAAAGACTTCAGATCCAAACCAATATTTTATGAGAGAATGCATCTGGAGAGCAGAACATAAAACTGAAGATATCTAATATGAGGATACATTAGAGGAAAGGCCAGTGTCYAGGATACATTAGAGGAAAGGCCAGTGTCTGAACAGGAAGGTAAGAAACTGGAAGAGTAAAGGTATGGCATTCTATAACTTACGGGTTAAGGAGTTAGAAGAAAAAGGGAAAAGATGAGAGTACAGTCAGCTATGATGCACTGGCACTTCCCTGTTTCAACAGAGGCTTTTTGAGCTAATAAAACACTGTTTAAGAAAATTAATGATCAATCTAAGCACTTATGTGCCACATTAATCCTATTGTATGTGGAGCTGTTGTACACCCTGGGATCTTGCTGGAGATAAATATCAGAAGGGAATAGTTTCATACTTTTCACAAAAGTCTTCAGAATATCTTGCGCTGGAGTGGTGTTCGCTGCAGGTACAGCAGGAATCCTGATGCAGTCACCCTTGAGAACCCTCCCAGAGAATATTTTGAAGGGAGCATTTGGATGAATTGTACAGGCCAGGGTCATCCTGGAGCCTGATATGTTCCAGGTGAGCGAGGAGAAGGAGAATTCCCAAGATCTGTCTTCAGTCATTAGAGAAAACTGATGTCTCAGACATCCCCTTGTACATCCAGAAAGATCCACACATCCTCTAGAACAAACCACAGCACAGAGATCACCAGGCTCAGGCCAGTAGGAGCTGGGAACTCCTCACAGCTGTGTAACYGAAACTGCTGCCTGTGCAAAGATGAGGTTGGAATCACAAGGAATCCCTGGGTGAAAGGGTTGAAAAGGCATTTGGGGAGTAAAAGACACTGTCTTATTCTTATTTCCAGTAAATTTTTAGAGCTTCGTCATTAGATAATTCTTGCATAAGACAACAGGATGTTGTCTGAGATAATAGCTTTCTAAAATGAGTAGATTCCTGAGGTGAAATACTGTTGTCTTGAATAGAATTAAAATCAATTTAGAAAAATCCAACTCAGGAATGAGACTGAATCCCCAGAGATATCAACAAGCAATAGACCTTTTAATTGACCTAGGAGGAGGACTCTAAAGGGAACTAGACACACAGGACATCACAAGTTTGGGGCCATCGTTCACATATAGCGACTTGGAGTTTAGTTCTTTCCTCCAGAATTTGTGTCATCATCATCATGCACTGAATACAATTCTAATCTTACGGTATTAAGTAATCCTGTTAAATTTTACTCTCCCTAGTGCATGACTGAGCAAGGACAGGGGGCTCCGGCCTCTACTTACTGAAACTGAGGTGCATCTCGGCAGTGCTCTATGTTGGGTCGCTTGGTCCTTCCCTCCAGGCGGGTCTGCGCCACTTTCAGGGGACTCTCCTTGGCCATTATAGAGCTCTCCAGTAACATGATTGTATTTTCTGTCTGGAAGATTTCTTGAAGGATCTGAACAGAGCAGAGCATGTATGTAAGCCTCGCATGCATACTCCCCCTGCTTTAAGCCCTCCTATAGGAAGTGCTTCCACGCCGGCCTGGCATTTTGCTTTAGCGTAGGGGAGGGAGATGCCTTCCACCTCGCAGCCCTCGGGTACACCGTGTGATGTGTTGTCTCTCTGCCTGTGCTTTAAGCGGCCCTTGGGAATCACAGCTCTTGGGAGAGCCAAAGGGAGGGGCCTTACAGACAGCAGCAACATTAACACATTTAATGAAGGTATTGCTGGCAAACTGGAAAGCCACCCTGCGGAACTACCCCGCTAGCAAAGGTACCGCCGCTTTCCTATTGGAAATTAAAAAAAAAAAAGGAAAAAAAGTAGGCAAATTGGCATATAAATGTTTTACAATCAGCGGACAAGCACAGCGTTATTTGGGGTGGGGGAAATTCCAGCTGTGCTTTTGTGTACGAAGCCATTTGTGAAGAAGCAGCGCTTATAGCTCTGCAGAGATCTACTTTAATTTTGCTTCATTGCCCTATGTTTTCTCCTTAATTAAAAAGTTGCTGTTTGAGCAGTAAAGTTCTGCAGAGATAAAATTCCAAATGAGCTGTTATTTTCTTTCCAACCTTCATTCAATTCTCACTTTCATTTGCTTCATAAAAAYGGAAAGCCATCAAATACGTCCCCTCTGAACCTTGTGGGTGCTCCAAGTGTTCTGGTGACATCAGTTCTTAAGACTGCAAAGTCCTAGGAACACAGTCGTATTTTCATAACCGGAGCTAAATTCTGAAGGTTTTTAAAGCTCCTCTGGGAGCTGCAAAGGGGAAGAACAACTTGCTTTAAAGTCTTATTCTACTTAAATGGAGATGGTATGGAGTGAAACACCAATTAAAAGGAGAGGTCTATGGAATTAGAATAGCAGTTTTTAGTTGCAGAACATGTTATCATCGGCTCATATTTTCTCTTGGGCTCCTGCAAGTGACCCTGCAAGCTGCAAGGGAAAGACTCTTTAATTCATCCTGAAAAAGGAAGGGTGGGAATATTCAGGTAACTTTTCCTAGTCAGTTGGTTGTTACATTACTTTATCACAATTCATCACAGCCACTATGTTGAATGTGTTCAAGTTTTTCCTACAGACAGATTTAAAATGTTTTTAGCTAATGGAGTTTGTCTGCCAAGCTACTGAAGTCAGTGCTGCTTGAACTTCAGCAACCCCTGCCYGTGGTGTGAAGCAATTCAGTGTGGGCTGCCGTGGGGGTTTGCCCGCCTACAAGGATGTACCAGGTTAGCTAATGCATTCAAGTGGCTTGATAGCTGAGTTAGGCTCTGTTGCTGAAAGGTTTTTTATAGAGAAAATGGAAAGGTTTAAGGGTGCCAGGAGCCTGCACCCCTCTCCAGATGCTCAAAGGCCTGTCTAGGCTGTGTGGTAGAACAAGGTGGGAGATGTCCTGGCTAGCATTGCCTGAGCCAGCTCAGCCCTTGCCAAGAGGCGAGTCATGACGGGCCCTGAAGCAGCAGCACGTGAATGTGGCTGTGCTGATCTGAAGCCAGGTGAGTGTCCCCACGCCGCGGCCCAGACGTGGCCCTAGGGCCGGGTCTGGCTCTCGCAGAGAGGGGGTCTTGAGTCTTTGATGCTTACAGGTGTCAGGGGAAAAAAATGTTATGAAGGGCATATACTGTGGAAGAAACTGAAGCTAAGAGCAGTAAATCTGTCCTGAAAATTCCATTTTTCAGTGGTTCTTTCTTAATTATATAATTTCCATAAGCAACCCATGGTTTACAGGAAATATTTATAACCCAGTATGTTTTGTAACTATTTTGCAGAGGAACTGCTCTGTGATAAGATAGCATTATTAGATAGATARCTTTATATTCAGTTACATATATTTACTTTTACAGATAAAAAAAACAATGCAGAGGGACTTGATGAATTTAGCCACCTTCACTAGGCAGAAAGTCCGTCCCAGACCCCTCTAGCACAACGGCCTTGGTTTGGGGCTGCTCAGCAGCTTGTGCTCTTGCCAGAACCTGGCTGTGTGGCAGCTTGGGAGCGCAAAGCGCGTTGCGGCGAACCGGCCGCACGTGGCCCCGAGCGCTGCTCCCCGCTTCCCACCCGCACAACAGGGGCCTTTCCCGAGGCCCCGCTTTGCTCCCACAGTTCAGCTTCACCGCCAAGCAAAACAGCACCGTGCAGGGCCAGGCTGTGAGGGAACGAAACGTGCAGGGCTCGTAGGAGCGAGCGCTGCTCGGCAGGGCCCTCCTTTCCTGTGTTTATGTTACAGCCTCTCTCTGGGCTCTGGCGTTTCCCTTCACGGGCGAGCGAGGCCGGCTCTGAGCTGCTCCGCAGCGGGACACGGTGGCCACTTCCAGCCACTCCTCRTGCTGGCTGCTCTTTGCAGCTCACAGGAAGAGAACAGTGCGAACAGTCAAAGCAGCACACATCTGTGAGTGGCAATAGGTGTGCAGAACTTCAAGTTTGGGAAGTGGGTGGCAGGATGGAGGTGGCTTCACAGGGGAGCTGCATTCTCCGATCACTTTGAGCAGGAGCTTTGTGGTCAGACTCGGAGCTTTCCCGCAGCAGCGCCTTTCCTCTCGGGCTGCACATGGAAGCAGAGATGCAYCTCTGCAGAGGGGATCCATCAATGCAGCAAATAAAGCAGCTCAGAGCRTTTGGTTAGAAATGAACCATGCCTGTGAGACCAGCTCCCTGGGGCAATGTAACAGTTTACAGATATGCTCTTGTAATGGTAAGTATRGCGTGCAATCACTGTGCTGCCTTCTGTGCTATATGACCATATGAATCCAAACAATGGCCTTTGCAGAAGGAGTGGAGCTAGGCCACAAGCTCTGTCACATGCTGCTTGTGTGGTTGGGTTGGAGAAATGCAAGGAGATGACCAGAACAGCCTCTGGGAGAAAACTCTTTTTCCTGCCCACTCCTGCCCTGGAGTGGAAGCAATGCGGGCACCTCGGGTTATTCCACACCAGCAGGGAAGCAATAAGCTGCCAAAGGGACCTGCCTTGAGCACGGAAACACGCACAGAAGCATTGTGGAAGTTCACCAGAAGCCCGGGGAAGCAGCTTAACAGCCATCCATATTTCAGATAACAGGCCCTGTCCCCTGCCGCAGATGCCCATTTGGGCTCCCGCAGTCCGGAGCAATTCCAGTAGTGTATGGTGGCGTATAATAGCCAGGCTGCCTTTACTCTTCAGTGTGGCAAACTAAATTATATGTCAAATGCTTTTTAAGACATAGAGGAACAGACTGGACCTGCTAAAGACAAAGTTGAACTGACTGGCAGAACGGCCCATCTGAAACAAGTGTATGAACTGTTCCCGCAGCGGCACTGGAGGGGGACATTGCTTTGCCCCCGCTATTTGGGAAACTGATACATGTGKTTTCCTCAGAGTGGCATGTAACTGATACAGGAAAATAGTTGTGTATCTAGAAGCTATTCCAAGTATTTAAATCTTGCATGATATGAATGTCATTTCACGCAGTGCTAATGTTGGAAAGAGACCAGCTCATTCCAGCAGTCTAATGACAAAATGTTTCTCTGTATTGGGAATCAAGTGCTCATGGATGGAGAGCTTTTCATCTAAAAGCCCCTGAAAGCTCAGCGTTTTATGCCCAGCTCTTACAGCTTTTTTCTGCTTATACAACAAGCAGTATYTGCAAGGCCTGCCCAGGCCATGGGATTGCAGCAGGTGCTTTGGGGTCRCACTCATGAAGGCAGAAGCCATCTGCAGAACAGTGTGTGCAGGCAGGGCAGCCCAGCAGGGCGAGCAAGCAAATCCTAAAGAAAAATAGTTTAAATCTGTCTGTGAACTCGAATTTCAGATTTAAAGCTATGCAGCCATTTTTAGGTACTACATATAAGTGGATGTGGTTTAGGCTCATTCTGTGTTCTCACTTCTGTTACTTTTTTTTTAAAGCACTATCATTTAAGACATACAGAGCAAAACGGCCTCGGGGGAAGCGCTTGCAGCACAGAAGCTCTGCAGGTTTTGATTACTCACTCTGGCTATGCATTGGCTAAAGGGCTTCAGCTAATGTGCTGCACATAGATGGATTGGTGGGGAGGATCACCAGATCGCGCTGCACCAGCCTACGTCAGCGCTGGCTGAGCTCCAGCGAGGAGGGAAAGCGAGAAACTGGGAGCAGCCGGTTGCAGAGAGCGCGCGGGCCAGGACAGCTCGGGGCGCAGCACAACTGCGGCCGCGGCACGTGGAGAGCTGGTGGACGCTCTCGCTCCGCTCGCTCGCTTCCCGCAGACATTTCCTTTCATAGAAGGCTCCTCCATGCACCCCTCTCGGCTGCCCCCAGGAAGGCTGGTTCTGAGAGCAAGAGACAGTTTTATAAGCACAGAGCGGTTCTGCCGCCTCCAACTGAAGCTCGTTTCCAGCGGCGAGCGTGTGCGGATGCTCTACCATGGCTACAGCGCCGGGCAAGCCAAGTCCCCAGCCTGGCCTGGAGCTGAAGGTAGCGGGCGCGAGGCTGGGGCTGCCCCAGGGCACGCGAGGCGCCGGGCACCCTGGCCGTGCCTGCCCTCGCCCGCAGGCAGCACTCTGCTCCAGCCGGCGCCAGGCCCACCCGCTAGCTCAGCGCACAGACATCTGCTGTTGTCTTCAAGTTCGTGCCGTAGTTTGCACCTGTAATTTCTCTTGGTTTGGAAGTAAAACTCTAATGTTTATATATTGCCAACTTAAATAAATATTTCCTCGTTCAGACAGGTTTTTCCAGGCAAGTTTGAGCTGCTTATACTAGCACACACCTTCACAACTGCTTCTGAGTCACTGTTCATTAATCATCTGAAAACACTCAGGTTGAAATATTAAATAATAAGATTAACTGTGTGCTCAGGCACCAGGAATGGGCATGAAAAACTGCAAATGACCAAGATTTTAAGGTGAGTAAAGAAGGAGGGAAGAAAAACAAGTTTTATGAGGGTACATTGTGGTTATAAACTAGTTATAAACTTAAGTACATKCATTCCCTGAATTTTATAAAAGT